AACGAAACCATGTTTTGTGACACTTGAACGCTTTTCAGGTCGACTGCCGGTCAAGATTGTCAAAAAACTAAATAACCGGCAGTCTGGTAGCTTTGTTGACCTCACTCATCTCTTCGCCCCTACAACCAAGACTTTGAGCAGTCTCTTGTTTTTCTTTAGAGCACACGTGAGGGTGAGCGGCGAAGCCGCGAGGAACGAGGGCGATTCCCGATCAAGCGAAGAAAACTATCAATCGCTCCTCCTTTTTACCATTAAATTTGCATGATTTTTAAATCCTTTTTCGCTCAAAGAGCGTAACTCCGCGCCTAAATTCCCTAAGCTAGCGGGCTATTTACACCCTCACTTGTGCTGGTTGGGGGGGGGGGGGGGGGGATTGGGGGGGCCCCAAACGGGGGGGGGGGGGAGAAAAATTTTTTCCCAAGCCGCCAAAATGACGCTCTCCGCAAGCCACCCCCCAACGGTCCCCCTCCAAACCCGGGGCCGGGGCCCCACCATTTTCCCCGCCCGGGGGAAGCCCGGCCCAGGGAAAAAACGAAAATTTGGGTGGGAAACAAAAATGTTTCCCCCCTTTTGGTTGGGAGCGCCAAAAAAAAAAAAACCATAGTGTTGCTCTTTTCTTTTGTTTCTTTTTTTTTTCTTGCTCCCTCCCCCCCCCACACTATCCCCTCTCGCTCCCCCATCCTTTTTCTTTTTTTTTTTTCTATTAATTTTTCTTTTTTTTTTTCCCCCTTTCTCTCCCAGGGGCGGCCTCTCCCCCCACGATTGCTGGCGGCGGGGGGGTGTTTTCCCCCCCCTGTGGGGGGGGGGGGGGGGGGGGGGGGGGAATTGGGGGGCCGCCAACGCGCGAGGAAGAGTGACAGAATTTTTCTCGAACTCGCACAAGTTAGCCTGCTCGCAGACTACACCCAAAGGTCTCCTTCGCAATCTCGGGCCGGAGTCATCCAATGTTCCCCGGCCATGGGAAGGACCGTACATGGACGAAACGGAAATTGCGGTTGGAAAATCAAATGATTCGCACCGTTTCGTTTGGGAAGCTTCAAAAAACAATACCTTTGTGACTGGTCGTTCTTATCTCATGCCATGTCAAATTTTATAGTTTTGTTTTTATGCACACGATTTCCACCAGGGTGGTTTGTGCAAATAGTAACTACACAGTACCTACACCCCCAAGTCTTATCAAACCGTAAGCAAGGTTTATTTCATATTAGGTACCGTAAAATTCCGAAAATAAGCCCCGGGGCTTATATTTTTCAAAGGCCCTTTTTGAGGGGCTTATTTTTGGAGGGGCCTATATTCGGAGGGGCTTATGTATGGAGGGAAATTTGCGTTTCAAAAATTGACTGAGCTAGCTTGTGGTGGAAAGGAAATTTACCATTTTTGCTTTGTTTTACTTTGTATTCGAGGGCAAATTCCAAGTACAAGCCCCCCGGGGGCTTATATTCGGAGGGGCGATTTAACGGAGGGTTTTTTGCGTTACGACTTTGGGGGGCTTATATTTGGAGGGGCTTATAAATGGAGGGGCTTATTTTCGGAATTTTACGGTATTTTGAAAACAAACCTCTGGAGCTAGGGTAGAGTGAAAAGCCTGGAAAGCTCTGGAACGAGGTTACTACATTTTAGTCCCCAGAGCCCGTCGTTTCTTGGTCACGTGCATAACGATAATCAAAATCGAAACTAAAATGGCGGAAGGTCGTTTCCTCTCGCATCTTCTCCAAACATCGCAAGAGTTACTGGCTTTGGGGGCAAATCACGCAAACCTTCTTTCAACAAAGTATCGTGAATTTGTTCTACATAATCCGGATACTGCTTCCAAGGTCGAATCTATTTTACGTGCGTTATCGTATATACTTCCCGGTAGATTTGGCGCTTCGGAAGCTCTCGCCGAACTCGTGTTTTCTTCATCGCAACTTCTGACACTTTTACACGATGGTATTTTGCGTGATAGGAAAGATAGTAGTCAAGGTGGGAGTCAGAGTTCCCCAAAACACCGCGTTTTGCTTTGGTTAACTGTGGTTGAATATTTGGAAGTGTTTATCGAGCTCGGCGCCTTTCGTTTGTGGGGTGAAATTGGCAAGTGGATTGTGGTGCTTGTGTTGCAGATAACAAAGGCCGCACTGAGATTTGTGTTGCTATTCAAGTATAACTCAGGTGTCCAACGTACGCCACACATTCCTCCCCTTGATCGATCAAAGCTGATGACGCATGAAGATGAAACTGATAGGGAAAATGATGAAGAAGAAGAGGCAGGAACTTCAGCTGGGCGACAACATGAAGACACTGCTGTTTCACCAGAACCAGTCTGGAGGGGAGCCAGATCAGGAAGACTCATGAGGTCCCTCAATGCAACACCAACTGGTGGCTCACGGACTTGGACACTGCCAAAGGAATCCTCCACAAAGAAAAGAGCAACTCAACCAACTCATCTCTCTTCCAAAAGACTCTTTGCAGAGAGCCTGTACATCTCTAGACCTCTCGTTCATATCGCCAGCATGCTTTTATGTGGACAGTTGTCATGGAAACCGTGGTTGATATCTTGTGGTGTGGATGTTACATCATTAGCTCTTATGGGTGACTTGAGTGACTTAAATGATGAAGAAAAATCAGAATTATCAAGAAGGACATTGCTGCTGCTCTTTTATTTCTTGAGGTCACCATTTTATGATAACTACTCAAAGGTGAGGATTCTTGGTTTTCTGAAGTTTATGAGTGACACTATCCCTGGAGTATCTTTAGTAGTGGCTCCTCTATTAGACTATCTTCCAACTTGGCAGAAGATTTATTTCTACAACTGGACTTCCTGAAGATTTTTGAAGGTTAGTTAAGGATGGTTACCTACTGAGAATTCAACAATAATTGTAAGGGTAGGTGGAGAAAGGCAACAAGGGGCTCTTGATCTCAAATGAAATTCTCTCTGTGTGTGTCACAGGTAACCCCCAAACCATTTTTTTGGACAATCAAGCTGCAGTTGAAACTCTCCTTGCAGCCACAATTGTAAGCCACCAGCTTTAGTTACGACCACCTTTGTGAAATGCTGTTTGAACTGTAACTAAAACTTTGTAATGAAAAGCTTTCATAAGCAACTTTTGGTATTACCCAACTAGACTTTTCCTTTGTTTTTAAGCTCTCGTAAGCGACCACTAAGAGTCGTATTCAAATAAATCAACACTTAACTGACATTGCACACTGTGCTTCTGGTTTGTTGATAAAGATCTTGGGGTCTATTTTGGTCTAAAACCTGGACATAAAGTTTAGCCATGTCCATTTCAGATTTTAAGACACTCATTTAACATTAATTTCTTTTGTTTTGTCTTTATGAGTTACCAATAAGTTTGTGAATCTCTCTTAAGCGACTGCCCTCTATTTTCTTGCCATGCAGTTGCTTACGAGAGCTCATTCTTATGAGCAACCAGCCCAGACCAATTTATGACCACTTTTTCAAATTTCCAAGGTGGTCGCTTATAAGAGCTTCAACTTTATTATCAGTAGTCATTTTCATTGTGACAGTTAGGAGTAGGGTTGATTAGAGAGGGGGGGCATAATGTTGAATATTTCAAAGGCAAGGAAGCTTAACCCTCTAAATCTTCCACTTAACTTTTCTCCTAACAATAATTCATCATATGTGATCATTAGAAAAGTTAGGAAAATTAATAAATGATCACCAAGTGAAAAATAGTGTGATCTTTTATTAAATTATCTCAACTAATTCTTTAAAGGAATGTGTGGAGGTAGGCTAGGATAATTTTTATTTCAATATTGGCACTTAAAGCCCACTTTTTGATACATTAAAATTCTAACATGGCTCCGAGGCTTTACGGACAAAGTTGTAAATTTTTCATGGCTCTATTGTCTTGCAATTCCAAAAAGAGACTTGAGCACAAAGAAAACCAAAGCAAATAAATTATAGATAAATGGCCAGAAAGCCTCGGAGTCATGTGAGAGAGATTGTGGTACTTGAAAATTGCATTTTACTTGCCTGTTAGTGTCATATGTAAATCTCGAAGTCTCTGACAATTTTTCCAGTTGCATTGTAAGTCAACCCTCCAAGTTGCAACCATTTTGGTGACCATGGCGCTTAAAATTTTGCAGCTGGCGATTTGATTTGAAAAGAAGTCTCCCTAAACTAAAAGAGTTGGTTGTCAAGTGGCGAAGGAGCCAAAACTTTAGCTTGGAGGGTTGTAAGTGTTGGTTTCTCCAGCCACCCACATTAGAATAACTTAGAAAGATGTCATCTGCAAATGTTCCTGTTGAACAAGAAAGCTTAGAAAACAGCTGATATTTTGCAACGCTACCGCTGGCTTTCCCACAAAATGACGTCTGAGAAATGAGTGCAGAAATTCCATTTTGATGATGTGTCACTACCCAGATCTGGGAAGTGTTTCTGATTGGATGAAGCAAATTTTCATCTGATCAGAATCACTATCCAGATCTGGGTAGGATCAGCAAATGTTGGCTGTTTTCTCAGGCTAATACGAATCTTAACTCCCAATACAAGATTAAATGTAAAGGGGTAGGAAAAGACAGAATAGCATAGCGGGGTTTTCATTAAGAATTCTAGTAATGGGAGAAAGGTGTAGCGTTACAGGAGAATACTTTGAAAGAGGCCCCACATCTAAATAAATAAAATTGTCATGAGCTACCAAACATAAGCTAGAGAATTCAAAAAAAAAAATTTCTTATTGTCTTTAAGAATTATGATTTCTAACATTTTGACAATATTTCTACGGTCTTTAAGAGCATAGACGATGTAAAATTGTTGTATGTTTGTTTTTAATCTTCCATTTCCCGCAAAATTTTCTTGGAAAGAAAACACTGCACCATCATGTCATTTCCATGGTCTCTTCGCTCATAGACTGTAGACTGTAATACTCTTTCTCATGTTGTAAAAATGAAAAAAAAATACTCACATGTGATAACCCTTTGTACTTAAGGCATTGCTCTAGTAGCTGACGGGGGGGTTGCTGGTGGTTGGGTGGGGTCCCCTGGTGCCTTATTTTGTTTTTGGGTGACTATGAACTCTCAGTTTTTGTAAAGATGTCAAATACTGGGCACCCTTCTCTGGTTTTGAACATTTGGCTACCTATATCTGTAGAATTTTTAATAGAGGACATCCTTGGACTACTGAAAAAAATGCAATGAACAACACTCGAGTAATTCTATTGTTGAGTCCAAGTGATTTACATTTGATTGACTCTGTCTGTCAGCAGAGTCTTTTGTTGGCTTGATTTTGGTGTACTTGAGAAAGGCTCCGCGTGAATCGAGTAAGATCTCTGTTGAGCATGTGCGGCATGTTGCTAGGATATAGTTTCAAACCCAGGCCTAACAGCCATTTGCATTTGCTACAGCAGGCTCAGTTATGACCATCAGTTTATCAGTAAACAGATGTTCACACTGTTAAAGATGATAGAACACAAGATTTAGGAAAAAAAGATTTCTAGTCCAGGACCCAGTTGTTCAAAGGCCAATAAAATTAGCGCTAACCCAGGGTTAAATTTCAATCTGGGTTTCTTTTTCTTTTGTTCAAAAGCATTTCCCAGGATAATTTTCTCAATTTTTTAGAGCATTCAACTAACAAGTGTGTGCAAAAAGAGTTAAGCTGAATTTTCGTTTTAAGCTTTCATATCTGAATTCTAATTTCACACTAACCGTGGGTTAACTTAACCCAGCTTTGAACAAGCCAGCCCAGAAGTTTGGGTGCGGCGACCTTAAAGGTTTGACACGATTCAGGCAGGGCCTCCTTTTCTCTTCCTCACTCAAGAAGACAACAGGGGACTTTGCTCACAGTGTTGTTAGTACTATGAATTTAAAATAATGTAAACTGTAAAGGAAATTTAGAATAATTTATGAACAATGTTTTACTGAGATAGATGAGGATTATTATTAACATTATTAGACCAAGGTAAATATAAGTTTATGAGTGAATTAAATAGGTAAGGTATTGGTGGAATATTCTATTATCTTTTGTTTTTCTTATTTTTGTTCTCCTATTCTTGCATTTATTAATGTTAAAAAAATTTCACTGTCTCTGTCATGACTTGTGTTCTTCTGTGTTAGGGTAGTTTTTCAAAATGAAAAGGGTTGTAACTTTGCAGTAATGCACCCCGGTCTGGACCTCCTCCCTCCAAATACACCCATTTGAGACAAATTTTTTAACTAACAATGAAACTGCCTTGATGCGATCTTCTTATGTCCGTCAAAATCTGGCTGCATAATAGTGTGTTCATCATTTTTTGCCATGGGGGCGGGGGTGAGATTGGTGTTTATGGTGGGAGGAGCACAGTCCTAAATTGCCGTTTAGAATTTTATGATAGCATATATTCATATTAAGTCTGAAAAACTGACTGTATAAGGGATGCTCATCAATTTTTGCTATGGGGGAATTTGTGTTTAGAGTGGGAAGGTGCAAACTTTTAAAATGCCGTTAAAAATGGGGGATACTTTTCTCTAAGATGGCATTAATGCGATCATCTAAAGTCCTTGAAAAACTAGCTGCATAAGGGAATGTTCATTAACTCGTCTTGGGGGAAGAGCTGGTGTTAATAGGGAGGGGCACATTTCCAAAGTGCAGTTAAGAATTAGGGATACATTTTTTGTATCATTATACATCTCTAGGAAACTGCCCACCTCCCCCTTCCCTAAGGCAGCATTAACACCTACTTCTCACTAGGGCAAAATGTTGGCTTATGGGAGGGGTAGGTGGGCAGTTTCTCAGAAATGTATAGTGATACGAAAAATGTATCCCTAAGTGCTTCTTATAGTAAAAGATATAGTCTAAAAAAATAGCCGACATTTCCTGACGCCAAGACGGATTTTCCCGCGAAGTGACGTCTGAGAAACGAGCGTAGAAATTCCATAGAGGTGACGTGTCACTTCCCAGATAGCGGGTCAGTTAAATAAAACTTTTACATGTGTAATTTACAAGTGTGGGCATTTGTTTTGGAGTTTGAAAACAATAACTGCACTTGTAAAAATTTTATTAAATTGACCCATGGAGTGTGCTTCTGATTTGTTGAAGCAAATTTCTCAAGCAGGACGACTAATCTAAAGCACCACCCAGATCTGGGTAGTGACACGTCATTAGTATGGAATTTTTGCGCTCGATTTATTAGAGGAGCCACCACCCCCCGGTCCAACCCCTTACCCTTTTTTTATACCTTTTTTTTTTTTTACAGAAAAGGTACCCCTTTCGTATAACTTCTATTGACAAATGGTACACCTTTCACATACATAGTTTAGAAGTTTGCATCCCTTCTAACACTAGCTGTATATGCACTGTCTTTGAAATATGAATAAATCACGAAACGAGAACGTTTTATCGACTTCTTTACAGCCAAAAAAAGCATCTGTTAGCCCTTTTAAGTCTTTTTACCGACCGAAAGAGAGATTTCTCTACCTTTCATTTTCGTCAGCTTGTGGAATTACTCTCCTTTCATACTGACCTGTGATTCTAAATTTTAGGCCTAGCCGTGGATATCTCCCTGGAGTTACGCCCTAAAAAAAACCGGGGGAGCTCGTTAGAAAATTTCGAAACCACCCCTAAAAAGAGTTTTAAAAGATTCCAGATTCCCGTTTTATTGACGTGGCTAAAATTCATGTTAACCCCAAAGAGGAAACAAAAAATCACTTGAGTAACAAATAGTTCCCACCGTTTCTCGACTTGATTCCCCGACAGGTGCTATGACAGCTGTGATAGACCTCTTTTTTAAGCACCCTAAGCAACGGTGCCACTTTATCAGGAGATGTAGCCTCCCCGCAGACGTCCTTTGGGGTTCGTTTGTCACGCATTCATTTCTCCCATGAATGCGTGACGAACGAACCCCAAAGGGCGTCTGCAGGGAGGCTACGGGAGATGAGGATCCCCGTCATTTTTATGTGGGAGTATCCACCGGGAGATATCTCCGCCCTCACTGTGATAGAATACCCTATAGTTCAGTTTATTCAAATGTGCTCCTAAAAACTAAATTCTATTTCAACGGGATTTTAATGAACCTTGCTTTAGTAAACCTTAAGGTTTAGTGTCAACTATTAATACAAAAAAAAAATCGTTAGATTCAAAGACGAGAACGCCTACGAGGACGACGGATTTTCTCAATATACTAAGTAAGGTAAGGCGTCAAGGCATAAAAACGCGATAGCGGTGATCATTTTATCGGGTTTTAGGGAAAATATTGCATTGTTGACGGAAACAAGTTATCAGAAGTTTGATCATTTTGAAATCGGGAAAGGATTTAACCTCCTGAATGGAAATAACGTTAACCGTGCTCACGAATCTAGTGAAAAAAAAGGAAAATGAAGCTTTCCGGGGTGTCTCTCTTTTTTAGAGACTACTCGAAAACTCGAATAAAACCTTGAGTTAAATTTTTCAAATTTCGTCCTCAAACATAAAGGTCTCCAATATCGTAATGCATAAAACTCCGTAATAAGCCAGGACACTAAGGCCCTGTTTACGAGGAGGGAGAGTAACCCTGGTGATAGGGTTACCCTAGCAAGAGAGTTACCCTGGCACTCGCACATTTCTTCATTTTTTGCGCGACGTGTTTACAAAGCAGGTAGACCATAGGGTTACACTAGCGCTTGGTAGCGCTTGGGTAACCGTAGCACTCAGCTAGGGTTAGGGTTACCCCAGCAAGAGGGTTATCCTACCTACCTTGTAAACGCTCTACTGGGGATAACTCGCCTACCCGGGACAACTTTCCCCCGTAATGCGTGACCATGCGGTAATTTTGACAATACAAATTGAACGGAGTAATCAAATTTCTGAGCTAGATTGATAAACATGTGAACAATAAAAGGTATTTTTTGCATACGATGATAATATTTTCCAGCTTTTTCGTGGATTAAACGTGTTTTTCATAGAGAACTTCAAGTTTTATTCAAATCTTGGCCGTTAGAAAGAATGTCACGCCTGACGAAATACATCAGTCATATTCCAGTAAAGCTGGTAAAGTTGACCCGGGTGATAGGGTAGCCCTACCAGTGAAATTTGCTTCTAAACCAGAGCTATCTTTTGCCCGTTTGCTAGGGTAACCCTAGTTCAAGGGTAACCCTCTCTCCTTGTAAACAGGCTCTAAAAGAAACCAGATTCGGATTGGCTTAACCTATCAAAAAATATTCTAAGGCAAATACTATGTAATGAGCTAAATAAATCAAGTGTAAATAGAAATGTAAAAAAAATAGTGTGCACACTCCGACATTAAAGAAAGTTACTCGTTTGATGTTGGTCCACAGCACGGCTCGGCCGTTAGGGAAACTGACACCTGTGTGGAATGTAAATGTCAAGTTAGTCAACTAAGAATATATACTTGGGGTACAAGGAAGAGCGCTATTAAAAATTAGCACGTGGGAACAAGTGAACTTTTTTAATCTATGCTGAGATAAGGCCGCAATCAGGTTGTATTCAGGTTTTGTTTGTTAAATAAGAGAAAAATATACCGATGATATTTAGGCTTTTATGGTTTCAGTTATAGACAAGTAGAAAGCAAATAAGGTTATATTTGTACCCAGGAATCAACATCAAGTCGTAGATCTTTTAGAATTTTATTGAAATAGCCCCCACCACCACCACCCCTCAGGTGGTGTCAACAAGTATAGTTGTTCATTTTTCTTCTATCTTTACAAAACTAAAAGCTGACAGGTTATGAACGCAATACCTAGAATTTAATTTGGTTTTTGTTTTATTGTTTTGCTTTTGTCTTCTATCTTTTTAACGACAAAAACCTCCACCTAGCACAAAGGTTTCCATAAAACAACTCATTATAATATTCATCTGTAAGGGTAACGGACCTTAAGTCTTGAGCGATCAAAATGGAAGTTTCGTGGATAGATAGGGTCGATAATCCAAACTACAACTAGGTAGTTTTATCATGAATTACATTTGATAAAAAAATTATTACCTCAGGCGAACTGATCTTCATCAAGTTCATCATCTGCCTCTTTGATGGCTTCTTTAACGGTGGCTTGTATTTCTTTTATTCTTGATGGATCTTCTGGGGGAAGTGCTTTCATCAGCTCGGACTCAATCTGCTTGATTCTTTTTTCAACCTTCTCGTGATACTGATCTTGAGCCTCCCACACAAGCCTTTTTATCGCCTCTTGGGCTTCTTTGCTGCCTTCCAAGAGCTCATTCTTCATCACCTCGATTTTATGTCGATCCTTCTCTGGATCCAATGCGATCAGATGGCTAAGACTGGCCAAACGGCCCATCAGGTGATTGCGGGATATTTCCACGTACATGTTGGAAATCGACCAAACCACGTACGAAGTTGTGTTTGCTTGATTCACTTGTTCGTAGATGACATCTCTCATGAAATCGGTTCCGGCATAGCCGTTGGTTAATGCTTGCTTTTGGCCTACCTTAGCGTACTGAACAAAGCTTGCAATACTCTCATTCTGACATGCCTTAATAATACTAGTAACAAACTGGAAGAACTCCACCAGTTTCTGCCACTTTTCACGAAGTGAGGCAAGGGCTTGAAGACCAAGCCTCAGCGTCTTTCTAATTTCCTCTATATCAGCAATCTTTTCTGGGCTGAATTGTGCAAGTTCCTGCAATACTTCACCTAGCTTTTTGTTGCTCTCTTTCATTTCTTCGCATGCTTTGTCATAGCGGTCCTCCTGTTTTTCCAAGAGACCCCTTGCTTCAGCGACTTTAAAGCGTGCATTTTCAACAACTGTGTTGGTCAAACCAGAAGAGGCGGAATTGGCAGCACTGGTTGTTGTTTTGACTTGCCTTGGAGGTTTGGTGTAAAATGGATTTCCTCCTGAATTTGCTTTAATTTTTGTGCAAAACTTGCAAACCTTTTCTTTTAGGACTGATGCTTCCTTGGCCACTGCTTCCATATCTTTCGGTTGAGAGGAAATTTCATTGGATAATTTTTCAGCTCTTTTGCAGATCTCCAATCCTTTCGAGAATAGCTCCGCCAGTTCCCTACCTGAGGCGCTGTCCTCTTTAGCAGAGAAATCTTTGTTTAAACTCTCCATCCAGAGCCTCAACGATTGGAGCTTTCCAGATAAGGTTTCTCTAGCCCCACTTGGGTCTTTTCCTCGGACCCCAGACTTAACGTGTTCAACCAACTGAATAATCAGTTGTTTCAACTGATCTCCTCCAAGGGTGACTGTATGCATTTGCCCTGTTCCTGACGAGTCCTCCTGCGAATTAGGGTCAGAAGGAGACCCTAACTTGCGGAGAACGGATGAAGAACCGCTGGAAATCAAATTTGTTATCGTCTCGACAACATGCATTCCAACAAGCTCCATTCCACTCGGCATAGAATCCATAGCCCTCTCAAAATCTCGTTTAGCTTCACGTACTTGTTTTTCGAGTTTTTCTTGTTGTTCCTTCGTATTAGTTGCTGCTTCCCGGACCGTCTTTTCTTTTATTAGGGCAATTTCTCTTTTCTTTTCTGTTTCTTCTTGTTCCTTCTGATAATAGCCTTGGGCTGCAGAAGAGACCTCACTTAACTCATTCGTCAGTTCCATGACAAATTGGACAGCATACAAAACTACATCCATTTCCTGAGTTCGATTCACTGTTCTCAACGTGCCTTAATTTTACGCAAATAATTGATGATAATGATGCATACCTCTTCATAAGGATTTTGCTATCTGTACAAACTTATTAAGTATAGACTGATAGTATTATTATCAGTCGCGAATAATGGTATCTTGTAGAAAAGTACAAAGCAGACCAGATGTGACAAAAAATGTCCTTTTCTGAACCGATCTGAAGCACCAAGACTAGATGTGGAGTAAAAATGACATCAGTTGCTTGCGGTGATTACAAACCCGCAGAGTCGGCCCTGGGTGAAGCAAAATATGAAATTACAAATATAAATTCCAAGAAATATTGAGATGGATAAAAAACGTATAGACTTCTTTTTCAAACATTGAGATTTTGCCAAAACAGTCGAATATCTCTGCTTGTATTTCTTGGAATACTATCAGTCGATGCATGACAAATGTATTGAATGTTAAATTTATCAAAATCTGACTTTGCCGTTTGACTTAGGAAGTTCAAAGAACCAGCCTTTGTTAAGAACTTAATTGCAATGATTTACGAGGAAAATACTTGAATTTCATATCCATTGGAAATGAAAACAAGCCTTCTGGATCGATCGATTGATTTCTACCATCAGAGCGCAGAAAGGGAAGGGAAAAAAACAAAAACACCTTCATGCACGCAGTTTGCACGTGAAAGATGTAGGACTTGGAATATCATAAAGTATGGACTGGACTCGGGACTGGAGTGACAAAATATGGACCGGATAATACGTGGACTGACAAAACATGCGTGATAAAAGGCGCGTGATAAGCAAGAAAGTTTTTTACCCATCCAAAGTTCCATAATGAACGATACTACGCGTAGGTCTATTGTATCTTGTCTAAATACCGTTTAAATATCATGAATGAACTATACGATACCCGCCAAGCTACCCTCTTAAATTTCGAAAAAGCAAAACGTTGTACATGTAACTTACGCGTAGTTATCACACATCTTTTATCATCCCATGTGGTATCACTCCAATCCAGTCCATCTTTTATCATATGCTTCCCCTTGTACGGTTCGTACTTGAAAGAATGCAATCATTGTGTTTACGAGATTAAATTTCTCTGTATGAAGATTTTAAAAAGTCGCCACCATTAAGAACATCTTCAGTCTGTTCAATGATACTATTATCGACTATCGAGCGCATACTGCTCCTCTTTTCTCCAAATTGGAAATTCTAGATATTTTCCAAGTCAATACGCTCGATACTCGATCGACACTGCTAAATTTATGTTTCGCTACCACAATAATATGCTGCCTCCACTCTTCCTCAATCTGTTTTTGACAAACAGTCTAGTCCAAAGACATGACACAAGAACAGTCAGTAATTATCGAGTGCATCCCTGTCCTACGAACATCAAGACATTCATAATTCTTTACCAAGGACCTAGAATCTGGAACTGTCTTGCTACATCTATTAAAAACTTGTCAAGCTTTTCTATCTTTAAGCGGACAAAAGTCTGCAAATTGCTGGAGTTTCTATTAAAATAGTTACTGAATTAGCAGCCCTTATTTCTGATAATATTGTGATTTCGAAGTGGCCTCTCTTTATAAGCCTAGTGGTTTCTTCAGGTCTCCTCGCCTAACAACTTGCTGTATCCTTTAAAATTTGTTGTAACATTCAATATATAGTCATTCTTGATTATATTCAATTCAACCCGTTAACTCCAATTCATCCGAGAGATTTATCTTCAAAATTTCCGGATCGACTGGCCTCTAACGAAAATAATTCCGTAAGCGTCCTCCAGTTTCCAATGCCAGCGCTTGTTTCCAGTTTCAGAATTACCAATCAAGTCATGTTAAGGGTCTTTTTTTTTCAAACTTTTTAAAGTTTCAAAAGTCACACCAATAGATAAAGGGGGTGAGGAGATGGATCCTTTTAATTATCGACCTATCTCTACACTCTCTGCACTAACCCAAATTTTCGAAAAAATCATTTGTGAACAGCTTGTTAATTACTTGGAAAAGCATAAAATCCTATACGAGTTCCAATTCGGCTTTAGAAAGGGACATTCAACCTCACAAGCCATTGCAGAAATTGCTGATAATTTACGTAATGCGATAGATAACAATTTGTATTCCTGTGGCGTGTTTTTGGACTTTTCCAAGGCGTTTGATACGGTGAACCACACAATTTTACTTAAGAAAATGGAACGCTACGGGATACGCGGCGTGCCTCTCCAACTTTTTGCAAGCTATCTCACAAATAGACAGCAATATGTACAGATGGGAAATACAATTTCGTCAAAGCAAACAATGACGTGCGGTATTCCACAAGGGAGTTCCCTAGGCCCGGTATTATTTTTAATCTACATAAACGATTTACCAAACTGTTCAAATGCTCTAACATTTAGAATATTTGCAGACGATACAAACGTTTTTGCCTCAGCCCGCAACCTGAAAGATCTTGAGGAAATAGTTAACTCTGAACTTAAAAAAGTGAAAATATGGTGTGATGTAAATAGATTGTCAATTAATTTCACTAAAACAAACTTCATGATCATTAAATCGTCAAAGAAAAAAGATGACCAAGTAAGTATCAAGATTGAAAGTGCAGACGGTACAATAAATGTGCTGCAAAGGAAGCAAAAAATAAAGTATCTAGGTGTCTTGCTTGATGAAACGATGTCTTTCAATCACCATATCTCATACATCTGTACAAGAATTGCGCGAAACAATGGTATTATATCTAAGCTGAGACATTATCTAACTCTTCTACAAATGAAACAAATCTACTATAGCTTAATATACCCATATATCTCTTATGCAATATTAGCATGGGGGAGTGCATACAAAACACATATTGATAAGATACAAGTTAAGCAAAACCATTCTGCTAGGCTTATTTTCTTTGCCACCACGTATGGTGAACACACAGAAAGTGCACTTCCCCTACTAAATTTATTAGACGTTCTTACGGTACATAATGTTTATCGATTTCAGATTCTAAAATTCACGTACCTCTGGCATAAAGGCCTCCTGCCAAAGCTGTTCTCAAACTATTTTCAATATGCCAGTAATGTCCACAAATACAATACCAGATATGCATCGAAACAGAATCTTTACGTAAAAAAAGTGCGAACTAATACGGGGAAACAAACAATCGGATATGCTGCATGTACCATCTGGGACAAAATTCCCATAACTCTTAAAGAACTAAACACATACCAATTCCAAAAACAATTGAAACCTTATTTGCTGTCAGAACAACATAGTTAACATAACTTAAGCATATACACTTTCTTTCTTAATACATTGTATTTTAAAACTGCTTCTTTAGAAATAAATTCTATCTCAATTCTCTAAAACTTTAAATTCTGGAGAACTGGCCAGAAAATCTTAGGATTATTTCAGCTCCAGGCCTTATTAAGTACAAATAAATATATATTTTTTTCTCTTTCACGTGAGTATGTAATTAATTAAGTACAAGGTGAATAAAGGTATTGTTGTTGTTGTATTGTTGTTATTGTTATTGTTCTTTTAAAATACATCTAATACATCTACTGTATACATTATATACATAAAAACAAACAGTTTCGGCAAAAGCATCATGCAAATAAATCAAATCCATTCAGTTCAGTTCTATCCTACTCCATGTCGAATATCTCTTCCCAGGTTAGGCAAACAAAAACAAGTCGCTAACGGTTACATGGAAATACATCCACCCACTGAGTTCAGTGTTCACACCGTGCTTTTACGCAAATAATTGATGATAATTATGCAAACCTCTTCATTGAGGCGTTTCCTATCTATACTATCAGTCGCAAATAATTTTATCTTGTGGAGAAGTACAAAGCAGACCAAATGCGTCAAAAATGTCATTTCTGAATCGATCTGAAGCAACAAAACTCGATGTGGAGTTAAAGTGAAAATGCTTGCTTTTATTATTACAAAGCCGCAGAGTTAATTACATACTGAATAAATTCCGAGCCAAAACATAATGAGAAAGATAAAAAGGTAAATAATTCTTTTTCAAACATTGGGATTTTGCTAGAACATCTAAAACAGTTCACAAGTCGAACACCTCCTCTTATATTTCTCGGAACTACTGTTTCCGCTGTTAATAGTTGATGCATGACAAATGATTTTGCCTGTTAAACTTTATACAAATGCTGACTTTGCCGTTCGCCTCAGAAAGTTAAAAGAACAAACCATTACTAGTCAGTTTATGTTAAAAACTTGAAATGATTTAGCAGGAAAATACTTTTACTTCATACCTTCGATAATGAAAACAAGCCTACTAGATCGATCGATTGTGGTTCGTACGTGAAGGAATTCGACTTAATCTAATTATACCACAGTATTAAATTTTAGGGCTTTACAAACACCTTAGTGCACGCAGTTTGCACGTGAAAGATGTTAGACTTTGCATATGATAAAATATGGACCAGACTGGAATGACAAAACGTGGACTGGAGTGATAAAACATGCTTTATGAGGCAAGAACTGACGTTTTTTACCCATCCAAAGTTCTGTAATGAACGATACTACGCGTATAAGTCAATTGTGTCTCGTCTGAATGCCGTCAGTTTTAAATGCCATGAATGAACTATCCAATACCCGTTAAGTTACCCTCTCAAATTTCTAAAGAAAAACCTAGTGACTAATTTCCGAAGCTTATTAACATTGTGGGCAAACGAACTCGATCAGATCAGACGGAGACTGTGAGGGTTCATCTTGGCAATATTCGATAGGACTCGCTGGAAGTCATTTCGCAAGAGTTTGGGATCAGAGGGGGATGGAAATTGTTAGCAAACGGACTCAACGACAATCAAGGAATTTTGAATCAAACCTCCTTTATAATGGGCTCTCGATCTCTGAGAACCATAAAAACATTCGTGCCTATAGCCAATTAAACCCGTTAACTCCAATTCCTCCGAGCGATTTATCTCCAAAATTTCTGAAAAGATCGGCTGGTTTCTAAGTAAAAAGTAAAGCGTCCGTAAGCGTCCTCCAGTTAAAAAATTCGATCCATGTAAGGCGTTGTAGCTCTTATAGATACTTACGTGTTGCTTTAATCTCAGGTGAAATCTCAGGTGTATTCTGTCCGCCAAGGTGTCAAACACTCTCACACTGTCTTGCCCACTTCCCTGTGATCGACACTTCCCATCTCAAAAACCCTTGCAACAGAGAACTGACTCACCTGTTACTTACCGTTACAATTAACGAGCAACACGATCTCTCCTAATCTTCGAACCCAGATGAATTTTCACTATTACTTAGGCATGCAATGCCAGGCCGAGCCTTCGAACCTAGTGGTATTTTCTGTTCTCGCTGCCCTAGTTGCCCAATTTTCTTCACACTGAGTCACTTATTGACCAAACGAATAACGAGATCCCTTTAAAGTTTGCTGATCTCGATAACTTTACTTGTAATCTATTGGCGCTACGCTCAAGTTGTAGAGTTACCGTTGCAAGAACATATGTGTGGTGTTACCGTATCTGTAAGACATAATCTTGTTAATTTCGTGGCGTTACTAAAAGGCCTTGATTACAGCTTAGGTTTTTGACGTTTAAGCGAGATATGATAAATTCAGTGACTCTTGTTTCGCGATAAAATCAACTGACTGACACATTCCAATGTCCCTCGCTTGTTTTCAGTTTTAGAATTAGCAATCAAGTCATGATTTAAGGGTTTTAAAATGTATCTAATACATCTACGACTATCCACTGTTGCACCTCAGCGTCAAACCCAAACATTTTGTGCCTTTATATGGTTTCTGTTTTTGATCTAAGCTCCTTTGATTCAGAGGGCAACATTATTAACGACCCAGGGGCAAAACTGGTATGATAAATTCAGTGACTCTTGTTTCGCGATAAAATCAACTGACTGACACATTCCAATGTCCCTCGCTTGTTTTCAGTTTTAGAATTAGCAATCAAGTCATGATTTAAGGGTTTTAAAATGTATCTAATACATCTACGACTATCCACTGTTGCACCTCAGCGTAAAACCCAAACATTTTGTGCCTTTACATGGTTTCTGTTTTTGATCTAAGCTCCTTCGATTCAGAGGGCAACAATCTTTGTCTCGGGAACCCACAACCACAGTTAATTTCCACAAAATACCATTAAAATGGAGAACATAATGCTGACTATATATAGTCGGCAAAGCATTATAAATTCAAATCAAATCCATCCAGTTCAGTTCTTTCCTACTATGTCGAATATCTCTTTTCCTATTTCTCGGAACTGATAACGAAATGCTAATCGTCGATGCAAATAACACCTTCTAAGACAAGTAATTTTTGCTTGTTGAATTTAAGAATGCTGACTTTGCCAATCGACTAAGGAAGATCAAGGAGCAACCTACGACTAGTTGTAAATGCAATGTATTAAGTGTCAGTTTTGTTTAGCAGGCAAGCATTTTGGGTATACATCCATGCAGATAATGAAAACAAGCCGTGGGTGATTTTATGCCTAAAGCACGAAAGACTATGTCATGTAATCTAAAATTAACTGAAGTTTGCTTATGGAACTTCAGTCTGATGCAACCTGATCAAAAGAGGTTATTTTGTTCATTTCGTGGCGTAACTGAAAAGCACTTCCCTACGTTTTAGGTCAATTAACAAAAAAAGAAACTGACTGCAACGTTGGAGAGTACTAGCTATTAATAAAACTTTCACCGCTACAGAAGAGCGAATGCCAGCCGAAAAACACTAACTAAGCGAACAGCACAAACCTGTGAAAAAAAACTGGTGCTTGAGATAATTTCCACTCTTCCGTCGTTAACTTTGAAATTCTCAAATGATTTGGTCTTAGTCTTGGGGCACTGATAATGCCCCTCTGCGACCATCCCAGCCACGTGACATTTTATTACCAACCAATCAAAATTGGAAATATAGGCCAAAAAAGTCTTTTTAAAAGCCTGAATATGATTGGTTTGCTATAAGCAGAAAGTCAAATTGCTAACACATTCAATTGTAACAACAAGCTTTTAACATCAGACCATATTTTTCAATGTCACTGATTCGTCAGCCACACCAATCATGTTTAAGGTTTGAATGAGATTGGTCACTTTTGAAGGTGGGGTGATTTTAAAATGAACACAGATTAGAGAGAGGCCTTGCCAGTTTATTTCAACTAACTGTTTCCAACACAAGCTGAGTGAGTTATCGAAGAAAGAGAGGAGTTGTTCAAGTAGATCATTCTGTCAAAGGTTTGTGACGAACTATATTCAACTTAATCATTGATCTTGCTGTCTACGAAATTTCGGGCGCATATATTGACTAGACGGTGTTATGAACAAGTGTTCATGTTATGTGGTGGCTGAGAAATTAACTTTATCTGATTTTGCACATGATTTTTATTTCATCATTCAAATTTACTTTGTCCAAAGACGCGAAATTATGAGGAAGACGACGAATGAACTTTACACGCCGACACAATTCGCCGGGGGAACAAGCTGAAAGAACTTCATCGGGAGTTTAGAAGTCTGTATTTTGTCTCGAGTTTACACCGACCAACTCAACTTTTCTTACTAACGAAATTCATGTATCGTAAGAAAGCGCATTCAAAGCTCTTCCGCTACTTTTTTTTAAACACAAGTGGATATTTACTTTGTGTTGGAGAGCTTGATAAATCATACATAATCATAAGCTCTTTCGGGTAGCAACGTTTTTCATGATTGAGAAGCAACACTGCCAGTGACTCCTGGAGTGACAACCGTTGCTGATTTCGACGTAATACAACAAATGTTTCCTTAATCAGTCGACAACATAACGTATCTATTTGCTATCAATCATAACAAATAAGTGCCGGTTGCAGTTTCTTTAAAATATTCAGACAACTGCGTCTTAACTCTGACAAAATTACTTATTTCAAAGCCGTTTTCTGAGAATAGCCATGATCATTAAATCGTAGTTGACTTGAGCTGCGAGTCTGCTAGAGTAGTCTGTTGCCATTTAAAGGCATATTAATTGATTTTAATAATTAAAAAAAAGTTCTCCAACATGATCACAATTCGGAGGTTTAACACTATTATTAACAAACTACGTTTGCCTGCGATTCTCTGGAGTACTGCCTCGACTTGTACCCTGACTCCAGAGCTCCGTTCTCAAAATACCTCAGATGAGTAAACCTAACGGACTAACGGTGTTCCGGTTTGACAAATTATAAAAGCTTAGCTTAGCGCCTGGCTGTCGCTAAATTAGGTAAGACTGGAAAAGAAACCTCTTGGGCTTCCACATTACAAGTTACTGCCCGGCTTGTTGCGTTGTGCTAATTATTAAACACAACTATAGAGTGCAGGCGTTATGAACGCAGACGCATTATTTTATTTTACACTTAATGCCAATATATTCGAGTGAATTCTGTGCATTTTTTGGGTCATCCGCCATGAAATATATGTTTATTGATAACAGGCTTTTCAGTTTGCGGACCTCCAAAAATACAAATCTCCAGCTATAATTTCCGGGAAAAAAATGATTATTTCGCCTAAAGTTATGACAAGTCTGTATTCAAGGGTTATTTACTAGTAATAGTTGACACCAGAGCCGCCCCCGCTTTGTACGTTGTCGGTCAATTGTATCCTTGGTCTTTGTGTAGCTCTTTGAAATATACCAATTCATACTGAAGGTTTTTACATATACAACATACAATAGGTGAGATAAAAGCAGGAAACACAAGATCACCTACGTTCTGACTCAGGTCGATTTACGCAGTTTTTCATTCTCGCGTTCTAGTCAAAAAGGCATTTTTAAATGCCTTAAGTCTTAAAAGACTCATACTTTGCTTTAAAAAGGCTTTTTAGAGGTACCTGTGAAAAAGGAATACAACAGCACAGAATTTAACAGATTTAATTGTCGGGGAATTTTTGTTATCGTCTACCTTACGGTGATTTTCCTCTTCTGTAGACATGACTTCAGCTGGTTCAGAAAGTGACGTAGAAAAATCAAATATGGCATGCTTGTTTTACGGTGAGTGGCGTGACTGGATCCAGGTCAGTAACAAGTAACAAAAGTTACATAAGGTGGGCTCCCTTGGTTTTTTCAGATGAATTCTGATTGTAAAATTTAAAAAAATTGCCATGATAGTAACCTAACCTACGAAAGAATGGGTAAAATCTCCAAAACGTTATATCTGAATGCCCTCTCTGTTAATACCTAAGCAATCAAATACTCACGACTTTTTCCGCAACATCATTATCATGCAATGTGCAAAGCCCGTGTGGCCGACGCCAGATTTTGTTCGTTGAACCAGCAATTCAAGTTCCCCTAGTGCAGTATTCAAAACTTCGCGTGCATATGTAGTTTGAAAAGGCCGTTTTGAAGGGTGATGATTATTTTATATCTTTTCTCGAACTTGTAAAAGACTATTTCTGTGGTTTCCATTTGACGTTGATATTTTGGTCCACCTTCCTTGCTTAGCGCTTCTGATCTTCTCTTTGAACAGAGTTCTAACATACCTTTCTTTGTTTCTTCTTTTTGTAGCACTTTCTCCTCTCTCGTTTCTTAGCCAGGCTTCATTTCTTTCGCCTTTGATTTGCAGGATCATCCAGCGCTTTTTTCTCCTACACCGAAAAATCATCTCGAACACTTCATCTGTATTTTGTATCTTTTACCTTTTGCATAAGCATTCTTTAGGTCACCAATGGCATTTCTCAACATCATGGTATTAGTATCCTCGATCGGGTTACCATTCATTGCCATTTACATTCGTTAATATCTATCTTAATGCCCTTGTGTTAGTCGACAGTTTTTCAGTTGTCCACTAATCACCAACTACCTCATTTGCTAGGCTTTCGGACCAATGAATCTATTAACCGTTCGGGTACAAAATAATTGAGGCTTGTACCTCATGACTTAAACTCATCCTGTCTGATATTGCCGGTGGTGAATAAGAAGAGTGAATTCTTGGTGTACCGTGTTAATATAGTTGGGCATTAACAGAACTGTGATCTCTTGAGGGATTGTAAACTCAGTAAATGGATTAAGCTGATATAGTTTGGGCTGATTTTCCTAATACAGGTTGGCCAAGTGAGTCAAAAGAAGTCTCTACACACTTTACAAGCGGTCTTAACTTCTTGAAACAATTTTTACAGATGGCAGATAACGCTCCACATAATATCAGTGCAGCTAGCCAAAGAATGATGCATGATCTTGTCAACAAAGCTTATGAAGCCTTTGTTCCTGCTCAGTCAGAGTTAGACAAGATAAATGATGCGTTTGACAAAGACCTTCAAGTTACCTTGGTTGACGAAAAAAAAGCCAATGACCAGCTTACAGAAATTGGGGTAACCTTGAAACAACTACGAGAAAAGGGAAACACTCTACAACAAGATGTTCTTGAAGCAGAAAAGCAAGCTGAAAGGGAAAGTGTTAACCTTAATGAAGCCATTTCTTTTGCACAGAAAAAGGAAGATCAGCTTGAAGAGGCTAAAAAAAAAAGCGCACTAAAAGCTGTAGGAGGTACCCTCATTGGATTGGTTGTTGGCGGACCCGCTGGAGCAGTAATTGGCGCCGGTGTTGGTGGTACTGTTGCATATGCTGATATCCAGCAGGCTAGAAAAGCAGTTGATACAGCCCGGGATGCCAAGAGACGCGCAGAAAAAAGGCTAGAAGGCAAACAAAGAGATCTTCGCAAAGTAAAATCGGACCTGGAAGGATTAGAAAAACAACAGAGAGAGAAATCAGAGGAGCTGAAAACGATTGAGAGACGCATACAAGAGATAAAGCAAAGAAAGGAACAATCAGCAAGCTTGAGTGGCTCCGTCAAAAGTTTCTTCACATTGGTGGATACCACTACATCACGAACAGAAATGATGGCGAAGGAAGCAAATGGCGAGTTACCCGACATTGAAGCCATGATGGTTCCTTTGAAGGCAATTGCTAGTGACATCTGTGAATCGCTTACCAACAGCTGTCTGTTATCCGGACATGTTGACTTTAGTTTTACTGAGATCCAGAAAATGAAAGATATGTCATTGGGTGACATTGACCAATGGGCATGAAGATGTCACTGAAATTTTCTTTTCGTTATCATGTAGGGCTTATCAAAAGCATGACAAGATTTAAATTTGCTGACAGTGCATCTTGTGGAAAGTGCAAACTTAAAGATTAGAAAATCAGAACAGCGCTTATTTTACAATGTCCTCTACAGTTTTGATTAGAAATTTGAATTTGACTGTTTTAAGTAGCTTTCTAGTTCACCACGATTGTCTGTGATTGGATTTTCCTCCTGATGATCAGTTATCATGTCAACTTCGGTACACTGAGTTATTGGAATAAACTGCCAGCGGTGGAGTTCTTGCTTTGTCCTTAAATTAGTTGTTTCACTACGAAAAGGCTAGCCTGCGGACAGCAGACGTTTCTCCTCGCTAAACGTTCCTCAGCGGCGATGAGCGAGGAGAAACGTCTACCGTTCGGAGGCTACGAAAAAGCCTGAAAACCTGCTTAAGAGCCGTTGTCTGTAAATATCGGGAATCCGGCGCCAGGTCAGAAAATTCGAATTTTTTTATTTTACCAAAATAACCCCTTTGGAATACTATTTTCAAAAACAATATTTAAATGTTCCAGCGAAGCTCCGTTTTTGCGAAAAATAGGAAAGCTGAGAATCAGCCTCAACCTGGTCATGCCTGGTCGAAGGCCCGATGGAAATTATGCAAATAAGGGCATTTCCAAAACGCTCGTATGAAAAAACGGAAGCTAATCTATAGTTCATCTTTACAAGATTTGTTGCACAATTCTCAAAGGTTCTTTCAAGCTTTATTTTATCTTGATCTAGGCTTTCTTTCTGGCTCTTACACCCGTGCAAAGAAAGTAATGTTTCGTGCTTTGGAGACACCGAGAATTTTACCACATTTCAGAAGGTTATAGCATCAAGGGCATACATATTTAGCGGCTGTGAAAGGATTCTTTGAAAGAACTATTCTTCCTGTTTGTCATGCTAAAAGCTTTTTTGTGGCCCGCCAAAAGTACAGTGAGCGCGCTAGACGACAATGTGTACGTGTGATTTGACGGGTTTCTCCATTTTACCTCCTTTTGCTCGCTCTTGTCTTACTGCGTTGGTTCACAATTTTTCACCCAGAAAAAACTTAGTGTTTGGTTTCCATTGCAACATTTCATTCGCATTTAGACTCCAGTAGCCCTCGACAAGAGCCATAATAGCCTCTTGCCCTCGATAAGAAAATAAGTTTGAATACACTTACTGAGACAAACATTGGAAAGTTAATTTACTGGTAATCTTTGTAATCACCAATCTGGCAGTACGATACAGATCGGAATACTGCAGTGACCTGAGATATCAGAGAATCTCATTCCTCAAAGTCCTCGAATTTTCGGTAAAGCCCACTTACCTGTTTGCATCACTCCAGCATAATTGACAAAATTCTATATACAAAGAACATGCATCTGACATGAACTATTACCAGTGATTGGAACGTGGAGCACATGTTGCTTGACGAAGGAAATATGAGACGTGGGAAATTCCGCAGTTTGTCAGGCGGACCATTTCTAGGGCGGGCGGGGCGGGATGGGGTAAGGGGCTGGTTGATTTTGGAAAAAAAATATACATGTACACTGTATAACCTGGAAGTGCATATAGGTAAGAAAGGAATCCTGCATAACTCATCTGTCCAAAAAAATTCACGCACGTTCAGTGGGCTGAAAAAAAAAATCTGCTTGAGATGCTCCCTAGTCCTCCCAGGGTTGACAGCATGAACTTTATTTCCCAACTGTTATGATAAATAGATTTTGTATTTGTACTTGCGTTCCGGCTAAGAAAAATTCACAGCAGAAGGATCTTTTCCTCTCAAATGGCTTTTTCTTTAAATTTACAACACCCGTGGTAACCAATCTCGGTCGGGACCGCGACGCCTCTGGGCTGTGGCCCCACCAATAATTCCACCGTTTTTTGTTTTGTTTTGCATATTTTATGATAGTCTTCTAATCTTTATGTTAAAAGCAAACACAATTTCCTTCGTTACATGCACGTTTTTTGCAGAAAACTAGCTGATTGGTGATAAAAAATGGACAAAATCAGTCTCAGTGAGAATTGGTAGAAATTTACGCGGTGATTCTAACTTTCACCGTTTTCCGTGGAAGCATGCCTCTGGCGTCCCTCTAGATAAAATCTCGCTTATAGTCGCCTTCGTATTATTAGATTTATAAAGGAAAGCCTTCTTTTTCAACCCCATCCACAAAAAACTTGCAAAGTGTTGGAGGGAGAAAAAAAATATCATTTGAACACACACTCCAATATAATGAAAAAAAAAACATGGTGAATGAGGGTGTTCAAAAAAATTCATGCGTACACCCAGTCACCCAACAACCCGGCCCCCTCAGTCCTCTCAGCAATAAAATGGTTGGCCCCTAATATTCATGTTCTAAAAGTATGTCAAGGGACCGACCACTGGAGACGTTAATTAGTTGGTAGTGGCATGCGCATGGGAAGGGGGGTGTCTGGAGTAGGGGAAATGTATAGAAATTAAGCAAAGGAAAATCCTGAACACCCCGAAAAACCTAAAAAAAAGTTAAATTAATCACACAAAACGAAAGAACAACTAACAAATATCCGTATATCTTTGTTCTGTTCAATTTACCTGTGTATTTCCAGGTTTTACGTGGTGTTCCGGTGTGCTCCGGGTTTTAATTTGGAACATACCGATCACAACCTAGTATAACTGCAATCTATTATAAATGCCTTCTGACGCGGGGGCTCATGCTCCGGAGAGTTTTCATCACTTCAAAATTTCATAAAGACGAAACTGAACACAGACTACTGCCCTTGATCTTTAACTGCCATTCCTACTGAGAAGAGTAACCGCTTTATTACAATGAAAATTGTCATGAACACAACTTTATTCTAAATCCAGAAAGTTAGAAATTGCATTTCTGAGATCTAGGTGTTGCAAATTATCTGGGATGCACGCCCTCAGACTCCTAGATTGAAGAGGAACTTGCGAACCTCCCTTTTACCACCCCCTATGTAACAAAAACTAAACAGTAGTAAGCCGTCGCTCACTGGAAAAATTAACGCAATCTCTTTGTCTTATCATCTAAAGTAATTTGCATGTTTGAAAAATAATCTTTGTCAGTGTTCGACTTGTGCTCAGTTTCTTACTTGAGCGGACTCATGGAAAAATACTGTAAATAATGTTGGCGAAATTTTCTGGGGTTGAATCCGAAAGGACCATATTTAAGTTTAGAAAAAGAAAAAGAAAACTTTTGAGTTTTGTTTACCTACTCCATAAAGCAAGCGCGTGAAATTAGGAAGTTTCAAGTTGCAGTCGTGCAACGGCGGCTACGAAATGTACAAAAAAGTGTGATGCATGTGCAAAGTTGTTGTTTTGCCAATATAAACTCATTGCTTTTTAACTGTTCTAGTTGCCGTGACCGTCGTTTTTGCTTAAACTCCTTATTCGGTTGTGATCCAGAAATTTGCTACCATGGTAACGTGACATCACACTTCTCCCTATTTTAACCGTTCGTTTTGACTTTTTAATTATATTTTGAACTCATTTACTTAAGTGTCCCGAGACAAATGTCTAAGAAAACGCTGCAATCCAAAGTAATTATTTCACACAAATCATTCATCGAAGAAAGAAAAATCATCAAGACACCAAAAAAAGTTTAATTGAAAGTTGCTGAAGTTGCAATGTGATTTCTTGCTATTTCTATTAAATTTGCTAGAAATGATTTGGGCTGACTGCGTTGATGTGTCATTCAGTTCTGTTTTTCATTTTGCCTTCTTATAAACCCTAAGGAACATGAGGTGTCAAGATTAAACAAACTTGGTCCTCATGTTTTCAAAGATGACGTTTTTAATTCAGCCCTCGAATATGCAGTTGATTAACAGCCGGATCCTCGTTAGACGACTGAAAAGTCTTATTGTCTTAAGATATTCTGACAGTATAATTATTTTTTCCAAAAAAGCCTTTTTGTAAGACCTTGAATAGTAATGTGTTGGTTTTTACGTTTGGGTGTTGATTCAACTAAACCGTCTCATGATGACCCATTTAGTAGGACCAACATAAATCAGCTCCTGTGGAATCATTAGGTTGTTTCTGAGCTGGTTTTTTTTTTAGGCCAATACAACTGTATTCCCGTTAACAAATTTCTACTAGTTCCTTCCCTCAATAGAAGAATTGACCATGCTCACGGACTGTACTGTATGTATCAGTTAATATTACTCAGTGACAAGCTTTCATGGTACCTGTATTACGCGCTTGAAATGATTGGGTGTTTGAGTTAATGCAGCTGCTATGAGTGTAAATGCATCTCAAATTTACTCTTGGAAACTAATATGCATCAGTTGTATGTGTGTTTGGCCGTGGAATCCGCATTTTAATTGAGTCTCGGACAACGAAGCCGAGCAAGTTCCCTTAAGTGAAAGTGTCTTTTTAATGGAAAGTTCCATCAAAACAAGGTTTGTAATAATTTTAGACTTTCATTGCTATACTTCCTCGTTGATTTAACTTGGCAACTTCTTGTGAGTGCGTATTTAATCAATTTAGAACATAATTTCAACGTTTACGCCAACTGAAGCCGCCGAAAAGTGATGATTGCTCATACTTTTACTTCTTTTAAAACAGTCTTGAGTTTTGTGAACCTTGGCCCGGGACCAATTTACTTCTCGCTCTCCAATTGAGGGGGGCGGAGGTGGCCTTTCCCAAGATTATGAAAGAGTCGATATCATGGAATTTCTTCTACTTCCTCTCATTATATATCTCAGCAAGAATATTTAAGGATCAGGAAGAATCAAACCGCAAGGCGCTGAAATGACTCTTTTATCATGAAACTATCACGGAGAAAAAATAAAATTCAAATTTTCTTCACATAGAAACGAAAGAAAACCTTTAAAGCACTTTTCAGCACCGTTCATCAGTAGAACTTGATGACTGAAAAAAAATCGTTAAATTGACTGTTTTTTGACGTTTTCTTTTTTATTATTCATGATTTATTGCCAGCTTTGTGGTGCAAAACGAGACCTGTTATAGACCGAGCCAAGATTCAAGTTCTTCTTCATCGATCTATCGAAGTTGTTCTAAGAAATTTTTTAGTGGAGTTAGCGTTTTCTATTTCTGCCGACAAAAGATAAATATGAACTAAGAAAAATGGCCGTACTAAACGCCACTCAAAACACACAGCACACAAACTCCTCAGCTGAAAAAATACAAACAGACACGGCAAATTTAATAATTGGAGTGGTGTTACTCGGGAGCGCTCTCATTGGATGCAGTTTGACGCTTTTAGTCCTGGGAAAAGATTTCTTCCTTGGTAAAAACCCTCCTTCCGTATTGGTTAGTGCACTGGTTTGGGTGGATTTCATTGGCGCGTTTTCAACGGCAGTTCTTGTTTTCCACGGCTATGTCCAAGGACCAGAATGGATCATGTATTCTCCCCAGTGTACCTTACAGGTTTGTCAGTAGTATTGAGAATATGCATACAAAATGCTCAATGATAATAAAATAATTATAAGTTCTTATCTCAGCAGCCAGCTTGATTAATTACGAACCTCGACGTTAAGCCACAATAGAAAGTTTAAGCTTCACGTATACGACAAACGGCAAACGTCAGATTCAAATTGAGAATTTCTGAAAATAAAAAATTGCCTGAAACACTAATTCATGCGTAGAAATAATTAACAGTAAACGACAAGTAAAATGGGCCACGAGGTAAAACTTCGCGTTTGCCGTTGGACGTAAACGTGACGCTTAACCTCTGTAATAAGGGATTGGGACGAGACGACAAAAGACGTCATTTTTTTTTCTCGGGCTTACGTCCTCGTTTATCTCGACTTGAGTGCTTACACTAATAGGTTTCGCGTGTAGTAACTTTGCATAGAAAAATAAGACTACTTTCAGTCTACAAAGGCCCCTCTTCGTTTGTTTCCTTCCTCGTATTCCCCAGCCTCTGTTTAAAGCAAAATTTCTTTACTAGAATACTCATGCTTCAAATCTAAGATAATTTCAACTTTTTTTAACAGGGATTCTTCTCGACAGCATTTGGAATTTCTTCAGGCGCCGTTGTAACTTTTATGTCTTTAGAGCGCGCAGTGTCGCTTCACAAACCGTTTTTCTACAAACAGCATGCCACACCGTGCCTTGCTCGGGCTTTTTGTATATTTATCACGCTATTCTGTGTAACATTATCAGCTCTTCCCTTCGCTGGGGTTGGACGATACATGTTAAGCAAAAGCTCCCGTTTCGTCTGTCAGTTCGATTGGTTTCCCGAGGATTTATCAAGCACAGTTTATATCCTTGCCTTAGGAATGAGTGGAGCCCTTCTTATCTTTCTTATGACTGCTTCAAACATCTTTGTGTTCGTCATTGTTATAAGAATCAGGAGGCAAATGTCAGCAGTTTTGCCATGGGGAGAGAATGCGAGGCGCCACAGGCGGCGAGGTGCCTTCCGACTGGAGGAGCGCATGGCAAAGTTTGTGGCTCTCGTTTCCGTTGTTTTTCTCGTTACTTGGTTACCAGTGACGGTAAGCAAAGGTGCATTTATACTTTAATTTATACCAAGAAAGCGTTTATATTTATTTATTTATTCAGTATCTTGAGATGAGAGAAGAAGAGCGCCCTCCCTCGTGCAAGAGACATGGCATGTTAGCAGGCTACGCTGAACTCTGAAATCAAGTCGACTGGTTTCCTGATATACGGACTGACGTGGGTTATAGGTCATACAAATTGCGAATAGCTCATCAAAATGTGTTCCAGTGAACAAATTTCTGCGTCAAGCAGAAATCTTGATTTATTTTCAAGTAAACTTATCTATCTGGATTCTAATTAGATCAGCTTAAAATAATTCGGAAATTTCGATGAACTTATTTGCCTCTTCAAGATTCTTCTTGAAATTAACGATGACAGCGAGTTTTCGGAAGACCAATTTAAAGATTGGTGATATAATTATAAAGTAGTATTCGACTACGATCACGCTTCAGACTCAAGGATCTGGTTTGCCGCTTTGCAATCCAAATTGACCGGTTTATTCTGCAAAAGATGATCTGCTTACCCTTCAAACTAGCCGCGCCTACACGTCGTCGGTTGATTTCAATTTGATGACCTCTTTCCTTGGTCTTGTTGTTCGAAGGCTCATAGGCGCCAACCCAGGGGAAAAATCTAAATCCGTGTTTCCTTTTCTATTGTTCAAACGCATTTTCTCTTTTTAGAGCATCATCAAAAGGTAGACCTATTAACAATTAACGGTAAACTGAATTTGCTTTTTAAGAGTTCACATCTGAATTCCAAACTTCGCCAAACCCTGGGATATCTTAACAAAGCCTTGAACAACCGGCCCAGTTGCTGCACGTTTAAATTGGCTCGATACTATTACTAAAAAGAACCTGCAGCACTATGACGTGACACATGAAGATGGCAATGACAGATTACTGTCGAAGCTGTTCTTGTGACCACTCTCGTAGGCGACCAGCTCTAGTCTTGTTACGACCACCTTTGTGAAATCCCGTTTGAACTGTGCCTTAAAACTTTGCAATGAGAAGCTCACGTTAGCGACCACGACCACTTTTGGGATTACCCAACTGGACTTTTCCTTCGTTTTTACGCTTTAGGGTAAGCGACCACTCAGAGTCTTATTCAAATAAATCAACAGTTTACTGAAACTGCATATACTGCGCTAATGGTCTAAAAAATTGGGCGTAAAGTTTGACCGTGTCCATATCAGATATAACGACACTCATTTAACATTAATTCCTTTTTTTCTTTTTTATGAATTATTGATGAGTTTCTGAAGCTCTCTTAAGCGACCACTCTCTATTGTTTTACCTTGCTGTCGCTTACGCTAGCTCATTCTCGTAAGCGACCAGTTCTATTTACGGCCACTTTTTCGAATTACCAAGAGATCGCTTAGGAGAGCTTTGATTGCATTCAAATAGACGCCGTTTTTTTTTTCTTTGCAACCCAAGGGCATTATTTTTAACTCAACGCTGAAAATGCGAAAATAGTGAAGGTTTTTTAAGTATCATATACGGTCTTGGCCAGGCATTTTTGACCCAAACTTAAAAGTTTTGTTTTAGTATGCGCTGAAACATCCTTCGTAAACATTAACGTTTCTTGGGTGCATGCTCTTCTTCAGAGGATTAAAAGCAGCGTTGTGGACGCAGTCTGGTCCATTCCTACGATCTCCTCACCAGTTCAACTGCAGGCCCAGGGCGCGAGTCGTTTATTATTTAACTTATTTGTCTTTCGTTATTATTCTTTTAATTCTTTTTTATTCTTTAATTTTCAGATTCGCCTGCTCTGTAATGTATTTCGGGTGTATCCTAGCAACCGCCTTGACAACCTCTCCCTTAAACTTGTGGTTGCTAATTTCCTTTTAGATCCATTCACTTACGTTCTGTTCAAGAAAAACTTTAAAAGAAACTTAAAACAATCCATCACTGAGCTAACTGAATTCATTGGAGACGCCAGTTTTGGTCAAAGGCTTAAAAAGCAAAGCAGCCGTGATAATAGAGGAAACAAAAAGGGAAATACATCTGAAGTTGGTCACGGACAGTTTGCAAAGACATCGATGTTTCAAGGTGATAAACCAACCATGCGTACTGTAATTCTTGATACTGCGGCATAACGCTTAACTTGGAAGCATATCACAAAGTCAGCCATCTTGGCTTATTTAGGAGCTCCCACATCTGGCGACTCATTAAGAAAATCGCTATGGCGATCTCTACTACAGCGGTCGTGAATGCGGAGTCCTGGGGAGAGAACCTCACCGTAGCCCGCCAAATTTCAACTTTATGCAAGTGGCGTCCAAAGAGAGACTACGGTCCTTCTCGCTCATTGATTTCGCTGTAAGCAAGTGGTAATGACCTTCTTTAGAGAAGCAAGAGATGTTATTTTTCTCTCTTATGATCAAGGATTAATCAGCTCGCAGTGACGAGGCATTTTTGATGCTGTATGATTCGCACAAGCCTCAAAACCTGGATTTGCCATACGACTTGTACATACCCGTACACAGCATTTGACCTCGGTTAAGGATAAGAAATTTTAAAGTGGAAAAACGCAGGGAAGCACCCAATTACTGAAAAGCCAGAAGCGTCAAATACCTTTTTTGATACAGTGAAAAACAATCTATGATAGGCTTTAAGACCAGTGATTGTAAAACATAGGGAAAAAGTCGACTTTTTTTCCTCACGTAGTAGCGACTACGCCTCAAGACATGTCCTCATATTGTAGGATTTAGCGCTACGGCGAAAGGTGATTTCCAAGGATGCGCACTGCGTAGTTTTTGGACTTTTATATTCTGGCCACCGTAGTAGGGGTCATCGTAGCGATTTGCTTAAAGTCCCTAACGGCCTGCACCAGGCTCCAAGACTAGAGTAGAGATAGTGAATGGGGAAGTTGATCGAGGAAAGTAACGCGAAACCGTTTGGGGGCTGGACAGAGACGAGGATGCCTCCCCCATTCCCCCACTCTCCCTCTTTCTGTTTTTCCCTTGCTGTTTCCTTGCTATTTTTAGCCCTGTATCCTGTTTACAGGCTATTTAGTGCCCGTCCTTATTCACAAGGGAATCTCTCGTTAGTGAATAAATTATCCTTGCATGCGACACAATCACAGCTTAGTGTTTTGAGTCGATATTTCTATGTTACACTCAATTTGGTGGCGGTTAAAACTGTTTGAATTTCGATAGATCTCGTAACAAAGCTTCTCTAAACAATCTGCGAACCACCTGAATCCCAGAAAGGAACGACTAGGTCGTGGTTTAACAGAGTTGAATATTCAACCAAATTTAGCAGGTGCCCTAAACACATACTGTAGCATTGGGTAGCAACATTGGTTTAAATAAGGGCCTGTTTACATGGAGGTGTGAGACCCCAGATAGGTGAGGTCACATGTAGCGGGTCACCTCACTTAACATGTAAACGTGATCGAATTAAAATGAAAGATTATATGGACAGGCGGGTTACCCCACCTTAGCGGGTTACCTCACCTACCTGGGTCCCCCACCTCCATCATGTAAACCGGCCCTAAGATGAGCGGGTTCTGAACACCTTTTTATGGCCACCATGTATTGTTTTGAAACACCAACATGGCGGTGGTGGCGTCATGTGGAAAGGCTCTGTACGCAACTGGCCAACTAGACTTTCACCGAATATACTCTGATTTTTATCCCCAAGAATTTTAATCAGTGAAGTAGTTAAGACAGATGTTATAAATTAATTTATGGAACACGCTTTTAATTAATGAAATGTGTATTATGCCTTATTTCAATGAAATATGAGAACTACAGAAAAAAAAACTATTCAGTAAATTTCGTATCAATATGGACTGAAGGAACGAGGCTAAATAAACATTGCCATACAAGGTGATTTATTAGTTTAGTCCGTGGCATGTGAAGATCGACGTTTGTCCCGGAAATGATCGTCAGACAATCTATCCGTCTGAAGCAGACTGATAGAACGTGTTGGACGATCGAAACTCATTTTCAGATGAACTTAACTGCAGAGCCAGACGTCGAACTTTTCATGAACTTAACCATAGTTAGCAGAGGAGACTGGTTGAGATCAAAGTTAAAAACAGCGGTGCTGTAGTTTATGTTGGAAGCTCCCTGACCGTGCACAATCCGTTGTTTTTCGTTCACAAATTGTTACTGAATAAATAAATGCAATGGTTCTATTGGTCAATAAGTTCAAAATGATAGGAATGCTATTCAACGTTGTGGACGGTCAGGTCCAAAGAAGCGAACAAAAACCTATAACAAAGGGTTTCCCAACCATCCACTTTAATTAACTATGTAGTGGTAGTAGTACTGAACTTTATAAACGTTTCAGGAATCTCTAGCGCATAGTACTAATTGGTGACAAAAAATAAAAGATAAAAAAAATCAAATATTAAAATAGTGTTAAAATAGTGATGCAAATAATATAGAATCATGAGTTAGAGGAAGGAGAGCATGGCAAACAGATTGATGACAGTACCGATCGATAGAGAAAACCGGACTCGTTCAGTTCGGTTGGCTTTTTTTGTACACTACAGTTAGTCTAGTTAGTGGCGAAACAAAGTGTATCTCAAAAATTAATAATTCAGTATTTAGTATATACATGCAGTACTGTCTTACAGAAGAAAAGCTTGGGGAGTTTGCCATTTTATAGGGTGAAAGTCCTCGTGCAAAAATGATGCCACCAAATTATGTGTAAAGAATTAGACAGAACAATTATTAATTACTGATAGGACTTGCAGACCTATTTGCTACTGGCTCAGTAAAATATACATATATACAGTTGACTCCCTATAGCCTTCAAGGTAGATCGAAAAAGGTTCGAGTTGTAAGGAGTTCAAGTTATCGGAGGTTTGAGGCAAATGACCGGAAATAAGCAATAAGCAAATGGATGGAGAGGGAATGCAATAACCCAACAGATTTTACAGGGATGGACACTGAATTTGAACTGGAGTGACAAATAAAGTAAAGACAAAGAATTAACTCGGTTGTTTTTAAATGGGTTCATTATGTCTCGGACTTCAGTACACGGTTTTTTTTCCGACTTGTCACGCACCTATAACATGGTTCGAGTTATCAAGGGTAAAATTACAGTAAATGTATGAAGGAAATCCACGGGAAATCGACTCAGTTGGTTCGAGTGATAGCGCAAGGGTTGAGTTAGAGAGGGTACGAGGAGGGGGGGCGGGGGCAAGAGGGGGAGTCCCGTCACGAGTTCACGAATAACAATTTTGCGTTTCACGATTTACGAAACCAATTTTTACCTTTTCACGATTTTTAAAACAGAGTGCTTCGATTAAGTTAACTAGAGTTTACGAACCTTCGACCTTGTTACTGCCCTCATACTGAAACGTAGGGGAATCATCGTCATCATCTTCTTCCACAGGATTTACATTCTCACTGTCCGTGTCATACTCGTCCTCGACTTCGTCCTGGGGGTTGGTAGAAACTTCCTTGTCTTCTTCTTGTTATTCCTTTTCCTCTCCTTGATCCTCTTGGGCTAAAATTGTTTTTTCTTGCTCATTTGTCTGGAACAGATAAACTTTTTCCTTGGGGTAGTCTAAAGGCGATGAACGACACATATTTAGAGGTAAGGTGCCAGCTCTGAACTTGGTGGTCTCTTGCCTGACAGTGCGCTGACGAATACTTTTGCCAAGCTAGACTGCCCATTCCCTCATGATTTCCTGTTCATTCGAATCCAAGCGCCTTGTTCTACCAAGGTGGGGAAGTTTGGAATTTCTTCAATGCAATGGTAGTCTCTGGAACCGGATAATAGGGGATGGGATGGGGAGAATAATAGGCTGCCCAGTTAGTTATCATTTTGATACTTTCGTACACGGAGTTTCCTAGATTGCACGCAAAGTTAAGAACTGTTGGAAATTCATCTTTAAAGTGACCCACCGCGTGAAGATTTTCTACTTGGGTAGTAAGGCAAGAATGGAAATCTTTGTCTTTGTCTTTGTTAAACTCTTGAATGGTGGAATGAAGCCTACCAAGCTGGCTATAAATCATCTGCACGGACTTTAAGGTCCGATTTGACACTTTTCCTTCAGGACCATTGGTGACTTTCTGAGAGTTAAGTGATTCTTGTACTGTACTGTTCCTTCAAGAAACCTTTTAAGGCTACCAACTTCCTTCATCGCTTCAGTAATTGGTAAACGGGTAGTCGTTTGGTGTTTGAGATGAACAGAAAATGCTCTGTATAGTTTTGCAAGTTGTTTAAAAAAGATGACCGTGCCGCTTATTGTGCATGATGACTATAACTTTCGGTCTGCGAATCAGTGACAAAGACGTTGCTATTTTCAGTGCAAATACTCATGAGCTAGCCAAATGAAGAATTCTCTGCTCTTCCTTCATTGTTACCCTCAAAGCCATTTCCAGATATCACCTCAACGGTACCATCCTGACAGAAAGTTCCTGTATCATTGAATAAAACACCTTCACGTGTTCGGGTGATCCCTACGCGCGCGGCTATAAAGTCCCTAGGGAAATTAGCTGTAGATGGGTCTGAGTGTACTGATGTGTGAAGTTACATCAAAAGACTCAAAAGTGATGTTAAATCAAGCCACCAGATGCTTGTTAAGGTCGTTTGGCCAAATTTACTATTCATTTTCTTCAATTGATCTTTAATGTACGTGTAAACAATCGAGGATTCTAGCAGTTCATGTTTCACGGAGTGCACTTCAATCACGATTCACAGAACAGTTTTTCAGTACATCACGATTCACGGACACCAAAAGTGGTCGATCACGGCGTCACGAAAATACCCTTGACCATAATAATATTTATGTCCACAAGAGGCAAGATTAAACTTTTAATTTTTCTTATCATGACAGCTGAAGAGGGCCGCATCGTCGTGTTCAAAGAACCTGTACCAAACAAAGTCATGACAGGTCACGTGATCAGAAAAGAAGGTGTCCCCAGTGAAGGGAGATGTCGAGTGAAGTGTTACATGGAGCCCAATACATTTATTTCCATATAAATATAGGACAATTGAAAGGAGGAAAGGTCGAATGCGAATTAAATAATGCCACTGCTGAAAACAAATTTGTGTTTGAGATGCCAATACTTATCTGGCCATCGAGGTAGGTAGCTTTTATCTTTGCTACAGATAATCTTTAGTTTTCATAAAG